GTTTTGGAGAATTTTCAATTTTGAAATCCATGATAGAGATCCGACAGTTCAGCACTTGGCTGTTCATCTAGAAAATGGACAGCGTGTTTTCTTTTATGCTAATAATCTTCATCAAGTTATTGAAAATCCAAGAAAAACGACACTAATAGCATTTTTTGAACTGTGTTCACATGATGATTTTGCGAAAACACTGTTCTATCATGAAGTTCCTTCTTATTATACCTGGGATGATAGCAGAGGCTGGTTAAAGAGAAGAGGGGGAAAATATGTTCCAGGTTGGCCAGGAATAAAAATGGACACTGCTATTGATAGAATTTACACGATTCACCCAAATCAAAGTGAGTGCTTCCATTTAAGATTGTTACTAAATTATGTACAAGCCTTTGATGGAGTCATTCACGCGACTTTTAAAGCTACCTGTTTTGCTCTTAGGCTTTTAGAAAATGACGAGCAATGGAAAAATGCTCTAGCGGAGGCAACTCTTTCAGAAAGTCCTTCAAAATTAAGAGAATTATTCGCAATAATCATAGTTTTATGCCAACCGTCTGAACCTCTATCTTTGTGGAAACATTTCAAAAATTATTTTTGTGAAGATATTCTTCATACAGAGCGCACTCAATTAAATGACTTGCAATTTACTTTTTCTGATGAAATATTTAATAGAGGTTTGATTGAAATAAAAGATAAAGTTGTTTGTCTGTCTGAAAAATATTTAACTGAATTTGGAATGAACTCACCTGTTCGAAATGAAAAAGCATCTGATCCTTTTGAATTCTCAATTTTGCGTTCTTACGATAATAACCGATTACAAGAATTTGTAGAAATCAATTTACCAAAATTAGTAAATGGTCAAAAATATGCTTTTAATGTTATTACAAAAAGCGTAATGAATCATCAAGGAAGAGTTTTTTTTTAGATTCTCCGGGTGGTACAGGAAAAACATTCCTAATTAATTTGTTGTTGGCTCAAATTAGATCCTCAGGTAAAGTTGCATTAGTAGTAACTTCATCTGGTATAGCAGCAACTCTCCTTAGTGGCGGCAGAACTGCTCACTCGACTTTCAAGTTACCGTTAAATGTATTATTTGATACAGAATACGTTTGTCCGATTCGTAAAAATGGCCCTCTTGGAAAAATTCTCCAAGAAACCTCATTCGTTGTGTGGGATGAGTGTACAATGTCACAGATCACATATCGAAGCAATTGATCGAACATTAAAAGATCTTAGGTGTAATAATAAGTTTATGGGTGGCATAACATTTGTTTTCGCTGGTGATTTCCGTCAAACCTTACCAGTAATCCCTAAAGGTACTCGAGCTGATGTCGTTAATGCTTGCTTAAAATCTTCCCCTATATGGAACTATGTTGAAAAACTTTATTTGCGAACAAACATGAGAGTTTATTTATGCGGAGGGGACGATATTTTTCTAGCATAGTTGTTGAAAATTAGAAATGTAACTTTAGAAAATGAAAATGGTTACATTTCAGTCAATCACACGATTGGACGGGTGGTCAATAACATGGAAGAGTTGATTTCTACAGTTTATCCTGACATTTTTAATCTGTCCAATAAATCTTATCAGTGGTTATGTGAAAGAGCTATTATCTCTCCGAGAAATGTAACAGCAGGAGAAATTAATGATATCATCCTTCTAAAATTCGATGGACACTCACATGAATATCTATCTATTGATACAGTTACATCAACAGATGATGCTATTCATTATCCACAAGAATTTCTCAATTCTCTTTCTCCTTCGGGGTTTCCTCCTCATAAGCTAAAATTAAAAATTGATACTCCAATTACATTATTACGTAATCTTCAACCACCGAACTTATGTAACGGTACAAGATTACAAATAAAATTGTTGCGAAATAATATTATAGAAGCTGTAAATCTTACAGGGCCAGCGAAAGGAGAAATTGCATTTATTCCAAGAATTCCCATGATTCCCTTTGGCTTGCCGTTTTCTTTCAAACGGCTTCAATTCTCGGTTAAAGTTTCTTTTGCCGTTACCATAAACAAAGCGCAAGGTCAAACATTCAAGTACGTTGGCGTAGATCTTCGTACAGAGTGCTTTTCACATGGGCAATTATACATGGCATTTTCTCGAACTGGGGACCCGAATCATCTTATGATTTTAATTTCAACAAGAAATATAACAAAAAATATCATATACTCAGAAGTCTTATAAAATTCTTATTTTAATTCTTTTTTTTTCTTTTTTTTTCTTCATCAACTTCAATCAAATTCTTTATCTTCTTCTGTATATATAAAACAGTAAGCTGATTGACTGCTATCAACGCACAGCTCAAACCATTGGACGGATCTGGCTGAAATTTGGCATACAGATAGCTATTATGATGTAGACGTGCGCTAAGAAAGGATTTTTTGAAATTTTGAATTTAAAGGGTTGAAATTGGTTTAATATTTTTTGACCAGGTCTTTCTTACGTCATAAGATTTCAGTACTAGATTTTTAATTGGGTAAAAACTTAAAATTTTTTCGAAAAAAGCCATAGATATTTACGGTTGATTATTTCAACTAAAACATACCTATCTTTTGTCAATCGGATCGATGTATTGAATAATGCGATAAGATTTTTGAAAACTGTTTTAAATTCTTTATAACGTGTACTTTTGATCGATCAGACCATTTTTTTAAATTTTGATCCCTAAAATCTAATAATTTAGTTTGAATATTTTAAAATTTACGAAATTTTAAATATTGATTGTTCCAAGCTAAAATTTAAAAACTTGAAATGTGGTCTGATCGATCTCATGTAGACAAAATAACGAATTAAAATCCTTTTTTAAAAATCTTATCGCATAACTAGGTTGAACAGTAGGATTGACAATAAGTACATACTTTTAGCACAATAAAACATACATTCTGGATTGTTCATGCGCGAAGCGCGGTGTCGGTGACTTTTACGTGAGCGTGCGGAAGATCATGGAAGTGCGGAAGCCGCATTAACACTAATGATCATTTACTACGCATACATATGTACGCTTCACACGCACACATTAATATAATTGCCTATACCGAACCCCTTAAAAATGATCCGTTTGCAATGCCCTTAAAATATAAGAAATACGCAGTAACTCAATGTACGCATTTGGGCTTAAGCATAAAATTCTGTTACGTGCAAACCCATCTCTGTTATTATAGGAATAATCTAGGTAGATAAATATATATATAAATTTATTATAAAAATGTATAAACATGTGCAACTGGTCAGTGGTGTTATATAATGAGATAGTCAATATTGGCTTGGATTACATTGCAGATCTAATAAGTAATGTGACCAATGTTAATGGGTAACATACATAGGCGTGTCTGAAAATTTCGTACAGGTATAGCCAATAACATTTTTCATTAGGAAAATTGAAATTTTCATTTAGGATACGAAGACAAAGAGTGACTTACACACAATACACATCCTCGAGAACGTGCGTAGTAATTGTAGCTACTACAATAACTATAGCTAGTAAATAATATACTCACTCTCTTCAAAAAAAATAAAAGGTATATAACATAAAATACTACTAGAACTACACGGCTATCTATGGATATTAGATAGTAAATATTATTGGTTAGTTTTTGTCACAAACATATTATACATACATAATATTTTATGTAAAAATATTTATTATTTAGTTCTGTTTTATTTAATCATTCTTTTTTATTTTTAGTAATTATTTTTAATGATTTAAGCATAAATTTAAAACGGAGCTGGATTTTGTAGATCTGGCCTTAGCCGTAAACACGCCTATGGTAACATAGGCTAATATATAGAAAAGGTACTTTAATTTCAAATAACTAAGATGATGTGTTTTTTTTTATGTAAAAATAATAACATTAATACTAAGTCTACAGTTCGATGATTCCTTTTGACTTAATACTGTTCACAATGATTGATAATAATAAATATAATAATCGATTGACTGGTAATTACAATATACATAAAATATAATTAAGATCACGGCATTAATCACATTGGACCGTATTGGAGATGTACTGCCTGTACTTATTCCATGGTATACACAGGCAACAATAAGGAAAATACGATAATTAGGTACACAATAATTACTGTTTATGATAATAATTGACTATATTTAATCCGATATTTTAATAGTATGACTATTCTAGTCATTACAAAAATTTTGATTAGGAAACTTGATTTTTTCTATTTGAGTATAAAATAAGGTGAATATTAATATTCTTATTTAAAATAAATAAAAAATCGCAACGAGTCGACATGGTGATACGAAAAAATAAAAATAACTTTTTTTGGGCAGCCACGTAAATTACACCACAAAAATGCACATAACTTCAACTTGGTGACTTTAATGGACGATATAAATAAACATACGATAAACATATGATATAATATACTTATAAAATTAACAATCCTTATTATTATTAATTAACATAAATAGTGCAATAAAACGAGGCCGAGCTGATTACGAGAAACGGCTGTGGCAACAATAATTACATTTTTGGGATTTTAAAAACTATAACCTATATACAAGCAGTAAGTATGGAGAAATATATTGTTTTTTAGTATTTTATTCAAGTTAAAATCAAATTTAAACTACAGATATTTATGAATGGGTTTAAACCAATTTGGATTTTTATTTGATATTATCATTGAAAACCACTTCATTTGTATTCATATTTATTAAATATTATATTTAAATAATATAGTAAAAACGAACAGTTAAAAAGTTAGATTAATTTTATAGTACTATAAAAGCATATAAACTCAATAAAATAATTAAACCTTTAGTCGAACAAAATACTGTATAATATTATAAATATTTGAAAGCCAACAACGAAACAACTTTTTAACGTCATATCCCTCTCTCTTTATATAATCAATTAATTTTATGCAGTATAGAGCTGTATTAATATAAAATATATATATATGTAGCACGTAACCGATAAGATTTACACGTTACCTATATATATTTCTCGACATTCTCACGGAACATAATGAACAGTTGTCGATTAACCGCAGAACGATTACCTATTAAAAGATTGAAAGTTCGAGAGAATTTGTATTAAACCGTTGTTGATTTTAACAATTTATTTTTACTTAAATTTATTTAATTAATGAACAAATAATGTATTATCTATAGTGATAGATACAGATAGTATTATAAAATAATTGATAAAATGACGAACTCGTTGTTTAAAATAACGAGATTTAAAGGATTACGAGATTTCAATAGGCATCTAATGTGAGTATTATATGTCTTACAACCTAATTATAGTTAATTTTATCATACTGTAGAGCATTAATGCAAATACGCAAGCATTGAATAAACCGTTATTCATCGAACGGGCGTAATATATTAAAATGCTGTAACAAGATTTATATGCAATTAAATTTCAACCGGTTTGGTCAATTTAAAATTGTAGGTATTAATAATAATAATGCAAGCACATTTTGTATATACGAATTTGAATTTCAACTCACTAATAAAACTGAACAAGATAGGAAAACAATTAATAATTAGAAATAGATTGGCCTGCGTTCACTACAGCGCATATCAAGGAACGAGGCATGTCATGTTTTTGGTATTAATTGCACGAACGAAGCATGCAAACGTATATCAAACAGTGTTAAAATATATTACTGAGAGGGTAGGTCACTTAGCGTTTACCCCCGTTGATTTTCTAGCCCTTTATTTTTTCCGTAAAAAAAAAAAATAATAATAATAAAAATAAAAAAATCAAGTACCGCACTGCAACTAGGTCATTTTCGCACGGGTGGCCATGACCTACAGAGTTTTTGAGTCTATGGCGTAATACTACGCATGCAGTGAATGAAAATAGTTTTCATTTCATTTCAGATCGGCTAAATAAACCGTTACATTGTTAAACGTATTTTTATGAGGCTTATTTTATGCAAACAGAAACTATAGATATTTAAATTAGACTATAAGGAACACTTTAAACCTCAAAAAAATTTAATTAAATTTGAACAACAGTGGTTAATATAGAGATAATGAATATGGCATTTTTATTCAAATACATAGGTATACTAGTTCAAGAAAAACAGTTTCTTATTTGGCTTTAAAGAAATCTTTAAGTTTTAATAAGTATAATCGGAAAGTGTATTTTAATAATGTAATAGTATAGCATTATTTATAAATATAATTAAAATAAAATGTTTTCTGTATTCAATTTGAACATTAATATTTGTACAAAAACAGTATTGTAGATATAATTTTTCGAGTTTCTTGATCAAAACACTGACATATATCTTTATATTTTTAACTGATTTGAGTCTATATATGGATTTATACAGCATTACAACTCTTTTTCATTTAAGTTTAAATAACATGTACATTACTCATGATGCCATCAAAATTTCAGGTCTTTCTCGTATTATCGATTGTGCATAAATATCATGTTTCAATGTAATATTTCGCACGCTTATGTTCATCTACAACATAATAAAACCTTATTTTTAACTATGCTTACTTTTCATGTTAATTATCGTCTTACCAGCGGTAGCACTTCTGTGGCTTCGTGGTATATATCAAAAGAAGAAACCAGCTTTTTCGAGATCAGTCACTAAACACGAACATGCCTACGTTAAATACGTCATTTGATATTTCATCTTTAAAGGTTGATGGAGCAAAGCTTGGAACATGTTCCTTTTCAAATATAGTGACGAGGAACGGGAAAGAGTTCTTATTTATTAAGAACTTGAGAGCAAATTTCCGTTCCAAAAAAAAAACATAAAAAATTAAACACATGTTAATTTTAATAATAATATTTTCTAGAACATATTAAATATATTCTACTAAATTTTAATCTTAGTAATAAAATAGTAATAGTTTATTTTATAACAATGGTAAAAGGTATATACTTATTTGGCTTTAATTGAAATCATTGATTACTGTCGATGAGACGTTATGTCCTATCTATAATTTTATTATTTAATAAATTTGCACACAAGGTACACAATAATATGAAATTAATATGATAGTATAAATCATGGTTGTTTAGCTGTAAAAACGATATAAATAATACAATTAAATGTTGTTAAAAATTGGGATTTTTTAAAAATTTCAGTTTTTCTGTTACATTTTGTTAGTTTTTCCTTTCAAATTTAATGAATATTGTAAATGAGAAAAATCAAAAGCTGACGTTTTTAAAGTTCAATCTGAGTTTAATAATCTACCAAAAAATGTTTTGACTTTAAAAATTAGTCGGTAATTTTTTGTTTAAAAATCGTCCGCAAAAAGTACATCATTAACAACATCTTGGATTTTAAAAAAAATTTAAAAGAAACGGTCACGCATTCTTTTTTTTTGAAAGAACAATAACGTTTTTCTTTTTTTGCAGCAGGTATGAGAAAGGGGAATGCGTTTATTTTTAAAAATAACTTTCCCAAAACTGACAAATATAGCATTTCATATGAACCATAAGTTGGTGCAGAGTTTAATATCAATACACTCGGATCAGTGACCATAATTAAAGTCAACAGAAATATTGTATGGTTAATAGTTATTTTACTGTTTTGTCACATTTGCGTAAATAAAAATTATATTAAAAATATTTACCTTTAACCGTTAAAGTTAATTATGCTTCTCTATCAGAAAACAAGCGGATAAGTATGTTTTATTACTAAATGTATTGTCACAACTTATTATTAAATCGCAGGATAAAAATTCATTAGCCTAATCAATATTTTTTTACTAAAAATGTAAATTTATTAAGAATGTCATTACAAATTACTATCTAAAATTTCCATGCGATTTATGTGTAGATTTTAATTCGAATATTATAGTACATTATGGTTTAGAATTTGATAATGTGTAAAAGAGTAAAAAAAATTCGTATGAAAAAATTATTTAGCCACAAAATGGTATAGTCACATGTAGACATAATTTAATTTTAGAAATTGTTATTTTACTTGTAAATGCTCTAATTCCATTAAACTACATATACCTAATAGCTGAACGTATTTTTATGTACAATATTAAATTAGTTATCGCCATGTACTATAACCTTATACAGTCACGTACATTGAATCATCAGTAGCATTTTTGTTCCAATCAAACATGCCCTTTGGAGAATTGTATTTTATTTAATGAAAAAGCTGTACATCAGTCGTGATTAGAGATCATTTAATATTTTATGATGCGAGTTTTTAAAACACATCAACATTTTTCCCTTTTTATTATTGAAAACAAAAAAAACTAAAAATTCATCTACTTGTGTTGTTTCGATATTTTTTTTCGCGATGCTATGATATGTTACAGTTTTTCCACTTTGGTTTTTTTTTTTTATTACTTTAACACTTCATAGACAACTAATTAGCTGTCCCAGGTAATTCAAAAATTCTAAAGACTCTACATATACACCTATCATAGTATTCCAATAAATATAAATTACTAAAACTAATAATAATAATAATAATAATAATGATATAATAAAGTAAAAAAATATTTATTTAAAATTCAAAATAGTTTCAATGATTAATTTAACAAAATAAATTATATAATATCAAAAAAATTAAGTAAAATTAGGTATTCAAGCTATAAAAATATATTTAATAATTATGAAATATGTAAAATACTTTTATTATTAAATAATACTGCTAAAATACAATTAATATATTTTTCAAGTATTATCTTTGTAACTTTTAAGATTTTAAGGAAATTAATTAATTATTTGATTTTTATTTAAATGTTTTAATAAATCACTTTATACATTAAACAAAGCTTAGTTATTTAAAAGGTTACGTTTTATTGAACAATTTAAGTCACTCATTTCAGATTACTCCCCATGTGTTTTTGGCGCCAAGTATTAACGAGGATAATCGAGGCCTCCTAGATTCTTCGCTATCCTTTAAATAAACTCCTGATATCAATCCTAATTTCGATAAGCATTTTGTTTACTTTTCCATTTATTTTTCAGCATTCGCGTGTGTGTAAGAAACACTCATTGGAGCAAGTACAGCTATTTGTGTGGAGCTTCGAGTGATCCCTTGAAAGCGTACACGATCGCAGGAATATTCGATGACGCCGTACAGAAAACTCCGGACCGCGAATGCTTGGTCAGCTGCCACGAAAACAAGAGATTCACGTTCACAACCATGCACTCTGAGGTCGGTGAAAATAATACCTTGTGTAATAATTCTTTTCGATTTCACTGAAAGCGGTTTCGTCCGTACACGTGTACATATTATTTGTGTTTGACATGAAAAATGCCAACACGCGACACACTAAAAATATATACTAAAGACATGCGTGTTAATTCACAATACGTGAGAGTATTTATATATATATGCATTATATACATGTTTATATTTATATTTTTTTTTACAGGTGGATAAGCTGTGCAAAAGTTTTAACGCTATTGGCCTTACGCACGGCGATCGAGTAGGGGTGTGGTTACCCAACTACGCGATTTACTACACGATGATACTCGCGGTGGCTCGCCTGGGGCTAGTTTTGGTAATATAATTTATTATTGTGGTCATGAACAAAACGAATCTCCAACAGTTAATTACTGTGTTGGTGATTTTTATAAAACCGTTTATAATCATCAAAAGGTTTACGCAATTATAGGTAAATATTAATCCCGCATATCAAAGTGACGAACTAAAATACTCAGCGAACCTAGTCGGTATAAAATGTCTGGTGGCCTTGGAAAAGTTTAAATCTCAAAATTATCCAAAAATTTTGGAAAATGTTGATCCGGAAATCTTTAAGCAGCCTACTAACTCCCCGATCAAGTCTAAAATGTTGCCAACGCTAGAAACGGTCGTTTTCATTACCGAGAATCATATTAAGTTAGCATAATTACTTACCGTTATAGAATATGTACAGTGGCGTATACATAACTTTTGTATGGGAGGGGGATCAGTTGCAAACAAATTATTATGGAAGGAAAATTCCTAAACCTAAGTACCTGCACATTTAAATAATAAAAGATATATATATATATATATATCTTTTTTTTTATTTTTATTTTATTTTCTTTTATTTTTTTTATTTTTTTTTTTATTCTTTTATTCTTTTTATATTTTATATTATATGTATTGAATGTGTCAAAATCATAATTTACAATAAATCCTTGCAATATTTTTTTTGTTTCCTTATAATTTCCTTACATTAAGAACACTATTTTATACCATTTTAAAAGTTCTATGGGGGATCTGACCCCCCCAAATCCCCCCCTTGTATACGCTCCTGAATATTTATAGTAAGAATGGTAAATTAACAAACGATAAAAACTCAATCAATAACATAAAATGATCTCCGCATATTATTGCGTTAATGATATAATTCCTGTTGCAGTGGTGCTTATAATTTAGAATCATTCTTGGACTTAGGTTCGAATACAAGTTATAGTACTCCAAATATTCAGCCTGATGAAGGATGTAGTATTCAGTTTACTTCAGTAAGTAATTAATGTTATATATATATATTATTTATTATTATTATTATTTATCATTTGTAACCTTGCTGATTATGTTATGTTAAGCTATTACTTGTCTATAATACATTTTTATTCATTTATAATCAGAAAACTAAACGTATTATATTTTAAATATTATCGTTACTACATTTTCTTTAAATTATAATATCTTATATACATACAGATGTATGGATATTTAATTTCAAACATCTTTGCGTAAAAAAATAGCGTAAAACAATAACTAGTACCTACTAAATTATCACGTTGTATATATGATTTAAAATATTATTTTTATAATTTTTAAAAGACATTATTAATTATATTGGTTATTTTGTTGAATGTTTCTGACATAAGCGTAACTTGAAAATATATTAAGGGAGGAGGGGGAAGAAAAATAATTACATATCTAACGAAAAGAGTGTCCGAGGCTAAACGCCGCTTTACTATCTACATAATATTATATAAAATTATTCATTTTCTAACATTAGGTTAGATAAATGACTATTTTATTCTAGGTGGCAATTTCCCCCACCTCCTTCCCCTAAGACCCCTTACGCCTATGGTTTTTGAAATACTGTTCCTATATGCCAACCGAAAAGTATAAATAAGAAAAAAACTATACGTTTTAGGGGACTACTGGTAGACCTAAAGCAGCAGTATTGAGCCACTTTGGTGTAATCAACAACTCCTACTACATTATGAAACGTTTTGGAATTCGTGATGATACCAATGAGGTGATTTTTCATAATTGAATTAATTTGGATATTTAATTAACATTAATTATGTTTGGTTCATACGATAATTATAATTTTAGGAAAATGTACATAAATTTTGCTGTACGATGCCATTATTTCACACTTTTGGTCTGTCCGCCGGTATAATTGCCCCAATAATCACCAAATCAACAGTATATTTACCGACAGCGCATTTTGAACCAAAAACTACGGTTGATGTTCTGACCAAAGAAAAGTAAATTTCTACAGCGTAACTTTGATTCATTCAGATTGAATTTGATTGCAACAAAATATCGATTGTAATGAAGAAAAAACTGATTCGTTATATTATTGTAGGACTTGGAACTTGATAAATTTAATTTATTTTTGGATAAGCGTGCTTCCACAATTTAACATGATATAAATTTGTACTCATACATTATTCAACAATTTTTTATGTTGCTTTGCTTATTTTATAAGATTTGGATCTATTATGCATATTTGTAGTTTTTGCATGTATTTATGCACATATAAATAACAAAAATCAAAATTTGTCCATCTAACTGATCAAATTATTTTTGAAATTTCTAAATCATTGGATAAACAAACATAAAAGTCAATTTTCATTCGCAACAGGAGCCACAGTATCTTCTTTATTTTGAATAGGTATACGAGTATATATATATATACGTTAATTTTATATTTGAGCATAACGTTATATAGCAGGAAAATATAATGTATATTTTTATGTAAAATAACAAATTTTTAATATATTTTTAAGTTAATTTGGCTGTTGCATATAAATACACGGAAAAAAGGAACTTCATTGTATGTGGTATATTTAAATTTAATATATTTATGATACTACACATATTATTCACATATTATTCACATACACTTTAATTTTCTATTAGTATATAGAATTTCAGCCTTAATTTTGACCAATATACACCATAGAATAGATTTTTATGTACTTTGTTTCGAAACTGAACTTTTGCTATTTCAATATAAAATAATAGGTAATATATTGTTAGAAATTACCTATATAAAATAAAATATTTAAACATTTGAATTTCCACGTAATATTCGTTTGATGTTCAAATATACATAACTATGTTATGCAGATGTACAATTTTCTTTGGTACACCTACTTTATACGTGGACATCATGTCGGTTTTCGAAAAACTTTTGCCAGAACAACAACAACAACAAAATATTAAGGTGGCAATAACTGGTGGGGCTCCAAGTTCTCCTGCTTTGATGACTAAGTTCAAGAAAATGTTTCCAGACGCTAAACTATTAGTAATTATCAGTGTATTACTAGTGTATTCATATGTTATTGTGTTTGAGTTCGTATAAGTACAATCAATAATCGCTCTCATTTCAGTCAGTATTTGGGATGACGGAGAGTAGCCCGTGTACATTCCAAAATTTCTACGACGACACAGATCAAAAAATACTATCGACAGTGGGTCATGTACAAGAGCACGTGGAGGTCAGTATTTACATGGAACCAGAATAATTTAAACTAGGTGTGCGTTGTGCAATTAATGTGTTGTATTGTACCTACAACAGCCGAGGCGGATTCATCCTTTTTTATAACGATCGGGTTAGGCGATCACTCGATTGTAGAATAATAATGAGACAACGTTTATGGATATTTATTATGTATACAAATATTATGTATATAAAATCATGTTTTATACGCAATACTGAACTTTTTATAAATTGCAAAAAGTATTAAGATCGACTCATAATTATTATTATTATAGGAATTATAATTTATATTATTTAGGCAAAAGTAGTCGATTCAAACGGTCAAATGGTACCTTTTGGAACACCCGGAGAATTATTAGTTCGAGGATACGTAGTTATGAACGGTTATTATAACAACGAAGAAAAGACAAAGGAAATAATTGATTCAAACGGATGGCTTCATACAGGGTAGATCATTTGCAATACTAATTATAGCCAATATTTTTATTACACCAGTTTTTATTGTACTTCATAACTGTATAGAGACCAATTTGTCATGTATGAAGATGGATATGGAAACTACGTCGGTAGATTAAAGGAAATGATTATCCGAGGTGGTGAAAATATATTTCCGAAAGAAATTGAATACTTTTTTGAGTCACATCCGTTGATTTTGCATGTTCAGGTAATAATTAAAAACAAAAATAGTATAAAAGTATGTAGTTAAAACTATAATTAAAAATAAATACATTTTTTAATATCAATTATTTTGCTTTATGTATTTTAACACATTTCATCAATTAGGCATTATATCACAAAGTTGTCAATACCAATGCCGTATTAATTCATGGGCTCAGAGGGCTCAGGCTGGAGATCCCGGAATTTGAAGGACCCCAAAATTACAAAAAATATATTATATTTATCAAATATCATAATTTTACATTTTTTTCTTTTTTTTTCAAAAATGAAGTTTAATTATATAATAATAATAATAATAATAATAACAATTAATGTGTTTAAAATATATATGTACCATAATTTATGTATTCAAAAACCCCCGAAATATAGTAGGCCTCGTAGCCTCACCATAGACGGACATTTGATTGACTTTTGAATTCTATATTTTTTCGCTAATTTTATTTTCATTTTCGATGAATGAATGAAATTTATACCATAGTTATTTAAATGTACGATTTATCTCTAGCTTATAAATAGTTTACATACTTTATTATACAATATCTTTGAGCCATCTAGTTATATTGTTGATAGGTTAGTAATAGTGAGCAGTTTAATTGGAATATTATTAAAAAATAAACACGTAGTTATATTCATTATAAAATTGATATTGTAATATATCAATAAATGTATTAAATATGGTACATTGTAAACATTATATATAATATTTATTTGAATATTTCATCCATTTTAGTATATAACAAATACCAACATTATTCGATAGCTGTGCGTATAATATACGTAGTATAGTAATTTTTTTTTATGAAACACTAATTTAATTAAATGAGACAAATAATTTAGTAAATGTATATATTCTAGTAAATTTTCTTTTTATTCGAAAAAAATTATATCATTTTAATTTATATTTTCTTGGATAGAAATAACAACTAAAACAATATTGATATAAGTATTTAAGCATGATTATTGGCTTATATGCAATAAATTTTCGAATTTTCAGGTGTATGGTGTACCAGATCAAAGAATGGGTGAAGAAATATGTGCCAGTGTTATCGTAAAAGAAGGTTCGGCAGTCACAGAATCAGAACTCAAGGCATACTGTAAAGGAAAGGTTATATATTTATGTTATGTCAATTAATATTTACTCAACGTAAATGTTAACATTTAATTGTACCATGCAATTTCAGATCGCTCATTTTAAGATCCCTAAGTACATATTTATTGAAAAAGATGAATTTCCCAAAACAGGATCAGGCAAAGTGCAGAAATACAAATTAACAGAAAGGGCACTGAAACGAATTACAAGTCACAATTAATGTTTTATGAACACCATCTCAATGATACGTGATTACTGATAAGCAATTTAATTTTAATAATTAATTAGGTATGTAAATACTGATTTGAAACTTGTTCAACTACCGCTGTTTAATAAATTATCAATATTAAGTTAAATTGGTTCGTACGTATTAAAATTATAATATATAATACATATTATATTATTTTATGATTGATTGGTTTATCACGTATTCAATTACTATTTTTTATCTCTTGATTATACTTATTTACTTATTAAACAGTTAATTATGTTTGATGTATGTCGGATCCGACCTATATTTATGAGATCGTAACTATTAATGCGTTACATTGCGTACCTAGTATAAAATGTTTTAATCATTTAAATAAGTTGCTTCATTAAAAATATACTTCGGATCAAAGTACAAATAGTACAACATTAAAGGGTTGCCTACAAATAATTGAAATGAAAGGATCAAATATAAAAATAGATGCATTCTAAAATGTTGCTAAGCATATATTATATGTAGCATTGATGTAATATTGCGAACAATTTATGAAATTAGCGCACGTTAAGGCGAAGGAAAAGAGAAACTAAATGCATTAAAAATGTATCACTTCATTAGTACTCTAATAAGTATAAAGTTCTTTACATAATATTATAAAGCAGTATAATATTAGATAATAATAATGAGTGACAAAAATAAAAAAATCTGACTAAAATAAAAAAAGGTATACAATTACTAACAAACTCGTCTATTGCATTAATAAGTAGTAAATACACACCCGTTGGGTATGATATTTATAAATACAAATTATAATGATTTTCACAATACATGATGCCAATACACACATACAAATATGCACTTGCAGCAGTATGGCATACATTATATATTATGCATAATGTATTTTATACATCTTCCAATTATTAAAATTAATTTTATTATAATAATTTTTTTTTAATTATTATATAAGTATATTTTACCGGTTCTTATAATGTACTGGCTTATGGCGAGAGCACGGGGGGAGTTGCGTGTGCTCGGGCACCGCCCCAATTGTTGTAAATGGAGCTCTACAGTTAAAGTCTAAGAGTAAGGGGCCTATATTTTTACTGATGTTGTTCAAATTAAATATAATTTATTCTAAAATATTTGGTAAAAATAAATTATGTTTCATAATAGAAAAAATAAAACTAAATTTTCTAAATTTTCGTGCATAATCTAATTATAATAATGTAACAGCTACAATTGACTACAAGAATATAAATCAAAAATAATTGAAATTATCTGAGAAAAATTTACGAGACTCGAGGAAAACATATTCATTTTGAACTAATATACCACTATGTTAAATAAAAAATTAAATTTATGTTTATTTAATTATTTATACATTATACCAAATATATTATATATACCTACAAGTTTTGTTAAGATAGAGCCTAAAAGTATTGTAGGCATCTCTGAAATACAGGTCTATGCACGTCTATATGCGCTGGTAATAAATATCAAAAGGTTTTCGGTCAAATTGCACAAATGTATCTTCTCTCAAACTCGTGTTTCATTAATGTTATTATTGTTGTGCGACACCCCGTCCCTCCCATCGATCAATGGTCAGGGGTCGCGAACGGTCACGACGACGTCCGCACAGCAACACTATCGAACCGGTCCGTTCCGTGCTGTTCTATTAACACCGTGTACGTGAACACACGACCCCTTTTCCGTATATGCGCGCACTTGTTTTTGTTTCACTGTTTTAACATTTCTTTCCATTCGTGTGCATCATTTAATGTTCATCTTGTCATCATAATTTCTGTTTATTTTACAAATAAATACGAAAACCTCGACTCTGAATACAAGTGTTAATTTATTCAGCTCCGCTGATTTTCATTATTATTATTATTACATTTTTCTTTTTTTATTATTGTGCGTCGTGCCGTGATACACCGGTCCACGACAAGATCTCTAGTTTTATTTAATCTCCTGAATTTTTTTTTATTATTTTAGAGAAGAAATTAACTCGAAGTAAATAAAATGAGTTGCAGATTTAAAAATATATTCCAATTTATATACTTTTATATTTTTGTTTCTCATTATGTCAATTTAAGATAGATAATGACGAAGAAGTTCATAATGCTGTCAAAAATGGCTTTGGGAGATGGAGCGAAAGGTATACGACGAGAGTATACAAAAACTGGCTTCAGAAAAATAACCCCAGGTGAAATCCTAGGTTTTATAAATGTATTGACCTCAATGGCAATTATGTAGAGAAATAATGACATGTTTCGACACTTATCTTGTAAATTTCATTTTAATATATTCATTTTTCAATTTTTAATTGATAATTTAACCTTAGTTTATGGTCGTTCCTCGTTAAGTGTCTTATTGTGTTGTTTATTGTATTTCATATAATGAGTATTTGATTTTTGTGGAGAAGTATAAAATTGATTGTTCGTATGTTATATTAATCTATAAAAATTAGTATAGAGTGTGAGGGTGAAGCCTCAGTAGATCTATTCAACTTCTATACTTTAGGACACCCCCCCCCCCTCCAAAATACTTGTCCATACAGTTACGAGATTACAGTTTATGACTATGCAAATTATTATTTCTTGAATTCGTTCAAAACTAGTTTGAATTTTAATAAATTATCTAAATAAAATACATTTTATGTGTGAACACAACATATCTCAGAGCGAAGATGAATGCGCCACACGATTTTTTAATAATACTCAGTATCAACTATTATTGACTGGAGTATCGTATCATTAAAATTAAAAACTACAATTCTATTACTTCAAGCCCCAAGGGAAGAAAAAAACGTTTTATTTATAATACTACTTCAATCTATTTGATCGTTATTCATTTAAAACAAGTTTATATTATTATGTACAAAATACGTCATTGGCTATCAATCATACAGACGCTTAACGTAACATTAACGCAACAATACCGTCCCTCTTCTGCTCCAGTATATCTACTAAACTGATTAGATATTTTTCTGTCGTAACTCAAAGTAAATAAACGGTTATATTAGGCTTTTTTTCATTTCCTGTATAATTTTGTATTATTATATAATTTATATTATTATAGCGTTGCTGTCATGCCAAGACTGGTAAAATTGGCAAAAAACCAGCTAAAACATTGCACCGCATGATGATACTACAAAGTGTGCGGAGACGTGTAGTAGGTAAAAATAGTTTCAAAACTTACCCCCCCCCTTTTTTTTTTTTAGTCTTTCGTATTCGTGTTAAAAAAGCATCTATAAATAAAGTTTGAAAAAAAAAGCTTTAAACGGATTACCTGCAGACGCTTGACTGTACATTTTTTTTTCATGTACCTTCTACCATTACGCCGTAATATTTGCGCGTGCAAACATAATTATATTTGATAATATAATAGGCGCGTGTCTAACCGCATCACTGCCACATGGGCGCACGTCAGTCGACGGTAGAAAATATTTATCACATGATAGCTTTTATGGCATAATTATTATTTTCATGGAAGCTTATCGTCTCCACGCAACACGAAAGCTTATTTACCACTTAACTTATTTTCATCAAAAATACAATTAAAACGTGTTTAAAAAACTGATAACAACGTTTATTTTATTTCGCTATGATGTCATATCGCTATAACGTTTCAAGTTAAAATCGCACCTTCGGTAGTTTTCTCTTACAACGTAAACATAGCGTAGACATGGCGGAGTGTATTTCGGGCTCGAAGCGAATGCGTAATTGTAAGTCTCTGTCGAATGCAACTGAGAAATTTTGAAATGTTGGTGCAATTTAACATTCTTCAAAACAATTGGTGAATGTGCGAAAATATTTACCGACCAAGTAATATTTCGGCCGCACACCGGTGATAGCCAGCGGTCACAAAATAGGTTTGACAGAATGTTGACAGTATAATAGTTATTGCAGTATCGACTTTGAAACGGATATACCATAAACGCATGTTTAAGTGCCCAACTGAAACATTACGTTTGTGAAAATAAATTTGTTGTTTTAACTTATCAACAATTTCCGATTATACTTCGTATGTGTACGTTGGCTAAGTCTCGTCAAGGGAAGTCGTGCAGAGTGGGATGAGGTCACTGCGCTATGAATTAACATAGTGTTTTATGGACACCAAATCGTAGGGGAGAATTCTATTAAAACAAGATATAGGTAACTAAAAGTTACCTAACTATGTTTTGAAAATTAATGAAATTTATTTTAAATATAATATGAATTCGAATGATGAGTGATCAATGAATGAGATTATTTTCATTTTTAAATTTTTCTATTACCTATGTCTAATTGTTCAAACTTTAATATTTAATAATTATTATATTTAAAAACAGTGATTAACGTCAATAATTAGATTATAACGATAATTATCTAAGTATTTTATGAATATAGTTATTTTCTGATTTACGTGATTTATCGTAATATTTATAATTATAAAATTTTACTTTTTTTTTAATTTTTTGGACCACTCGAATGTAATCTGAAAACTTTCATTGGTTCTCTGTCGAATTTTGTAAGTGCATTTTTTATCCTTTCTAGAGTAAACAATGGTTTGTATTCCATCTTGTAATTGAATTATATTTATTTATATTGTCATTTGTTATTCCATCTCTCAACAGATTTATTCATTTTTGCATCATTTTATTTCTTTAAATATTTTTTGTCCATGGTTGAACATTTACGATCCGCTATATACAAATATAATACGCAATAATATATTCTTTAATATTTTTTTTTATCGTATTAGCGTTTAATTTTTATCAGTTCATATTTGAAGTTGTATGATTGTGTTTCGTTAATTATATCAACAAAGTATTTTGGCAATCCGTTCGAATTGAAACCGGAAGTACAGTACCTATCAAACTTGGACACATGATTTCTTTAAAATTTATTATTATAATAATTATTTTGGTTGTGTGGCGTAACTTAAGATCCTCACCATTATATGTTATCTGCAACAACTGTGATTTTTTCTATCAACATATAATATAAATATACAGTGTGTTCAACGATAAAGGTAACAAGAAATATTTCAAATGCATGACCTTATATGTAATTCGAGTTTTTTGTAATGCATAAAAAACACAAAATTACATTTATTTTCGATAAATCTTAATTTTAAAAAAAACATTTTGCGCATGCGCAATAAAATAATTTTTTTTAAATAGCATACCCCATTTTTGAGTTCAAATATGAATTATATGAATTTTTTCAAGTAACTTTGACCTTTAAAATTTTGCTCTATCTACAAAATTGACTAAATGAGAATGAGTTAAATTTTCGATTTATAACATTTGTATTTATCGTATTTTTCAATAGTCTACTTAGAGTTTTACAAATTTATAAATGATTTCGTATGAATTTTTATTAAAAATTAAGTATACTGTCATAAGTACAAGTAATTTACATTACTTCTATAGAAATTTTAACTCAAATTTCTTGTAAATGGTATAATTTTGGTTGATTAAAACTAACACATAATCAAACAAAATAAACAAACTAACACATATTCTATTATTTTAATTTAAAACAAAATTTTGATTTTATTTAACAATTAAACTATGCACAGGTGAGTTTTGATTAAATTTTACAATTCATTGTATAAATTGCTCGAAGTTATTAACATTATGTGCAATGCATGCATGCTTCACAACGTCACTTCTCTGTGTCGTAGAAAGTATTTGTTCCTCGGTTAATACGCAAGAATTATTTTATTTTTCAAATCTTGAAGATTATTTGGTGGATTAGAATAGATAACCGTCTTCAGATGTCCCCATAAAAAAAATCCAAAGGTGTCAAATTTGGTGGTTTTGGTGGCCATTGTACTGATCCACGAGTGTCCAATGGACACTGTCCATCCATTAATATATAATGATTAAAAGTTCTTTTTAAATATTCGTGAACAATTAATGCGTTATGCGCAAGTGAGTTAAAATTTCTGTAGAAGTAATGTAATTACTTGTACTTATGACAGAACACTTAATTTTTAATAAAAATTCATACGAAATCACTTATAAATTTGTATAACTCTAAGTAGACTATTAAAAAATACGACAAATACAAATGTTATAAATCGAAAATTTAACTCATTCTCAATCTGTCAATTTTGAAGATAGAGCAAAACTTTAAAAGTCAAAGTTGCTTGAAAAAAATTCACATAATTAAAATTTGAACTCGAAAATAGGGGGTGCTATTTAAAAAAATTATTTTGTTGCACATGCGCAAAACGTTTTTTTTTTTTTTTTAAATTAAGATTTATCGAAAATAAATGTAATTTTATGTCCTTTATGCATTACAAAAAACCCGAATTGCATATAAGGTCATGCGTTCGAAATATTTTATGTTACCTTTATCGTTGAGCATACTGTATACATTAATTTTGGGGTTTCAACCAGGAATCTGATCATAATGGTCCAAAATAGGACAACAGCATTGCATAGGTATAATTTATATTTCAGTAGTATCGCTGTTTACTGATGTGAACATGAGCTATGTTAAAGATATAATTGATCGATAAACGATTGAGATCTATCAGGACCAAATTATATTTATTAAAATTAATATAATATCACTTATTAAACTATCGCTAAAAACAAATTAATATAATATTACAACTACCCGGTTCGTATTATGCTATTAATTATAAAATATTTGTATAGTAAAGATACATATAGTATAAAAACAATAAAATCAATTTGTAATGGATATTAGAAAGTGAATTTTTATAGATAAAAAAGAAATTAACAAATTCTTAATAATACAAATTTTTTGTCTTAGTCCTTTTGGGGAAGTAATCAAATTGGTGTCCATTTGGCCGAATTGGTTCCCATTTAAAAAAGGTATTTTATTATGTATAGTCGAAATGGTTCTCGTTTGTGTAGAGGTAAAATAGTGACAATTTTAATTTTTAATACAATTTACCTACATTATTAAAAATTAAAATCCAGCGGGCCAGTGCATAAAGAGCAAAAAACAAAATTTTAAAAGTTATATGTATGACATATAGACACAATAATTATATCGATAAGATATAAAGAAGAGTATATATATATATATATATATATATATAAGAGTATAGAAATTTAATAGACTATAGATTACTAGAGACTAGCAAATTACAAGCAAACAGGAAAGATATAACAAATACTTGAAAAATTATATGACTGACTACATTAATGAGAAAATTACGAGAATTGAATATTTAAAGAAAGTTAGCTTCAAATGTACAAATCAGTGGTTTTAAATTATATTTATTATATTTTATTATTTGTATTTCATACACCTAAGTGATGAATAGTTCATTTCCAAATCAGCGATTTAAAGTTGTATATATTTTATCATTTTTTTTTTTAACACACATTAACGCATATTGTTAATCAAGCCTACTATAAAGTTGACAGTCCTAAGCCTGTAAAATTGAGAAGTAAAATGTGGGCGTAATTAAACGGGAACCAATTCGACTATACCTAATAAAGTACCTTTTTCAAACGGAAACCAATTCAGCACGTGGGGTTGGAGCTCGAGAACCAATTCGGTACCAGTCCCTCTTGAGTTCGATTTTACATTAAAACTCTAAGTTTAGATGAACATTCGTTTTATTTAAATTGACGAAATATTTTATAATATTTTTATTTTTGCTTATTTTCCATGAAGTTATCACATAATTCATCATATTTTAATTATATATAATTATTATAATAATAAAATCTATTTTGAGCAAAAATATTTGTTGTACACAAGTACGAATATATTTAACATCAAGTGAAAAGTATTTGCATACTATTATGGGATTGTTTTTTTTAAAGATTTTCATTAAGTAAAATAAAAATAAAATGTTGTAGTTTAATTGCTGATCTTGTATTATAACTAGTTTCAGAGAATACATTGAAACAGTCAATAAATGTTAATAAGTGTATTATAGTTTGCATTCCTTTAAGTAACCCGTTGTGCAGGGAATAAGCCCACAAGCTACGTTGGTATATTGTGAGTGCTGTCATAACTTTTTTTCATTTTATATTTGATAATTATCTATAGTGCGGAAAAAATAAAATTAGCCACAGAAAGAAAAATGATTTAGATATTACGATTGAGAATTTTTGAACACGCTAGATGTATTATTATTACTATTACATTTATATGATACCCTACTATGTATATTACCGTCATAAAGAATAAACACAAATAATACAGTCGTATAATTCAGA